CAATTAATTTTGTAACCAACTACAATGTATTTTAGATTTTGCATATTTACTGTATATCCAACACCTTTAAATAGTTTTGTTATTCTTGCCCAATATATACTCAAATAGTCACATTCAATAAAGTAATGTCTATAATCCTCTGTGACATTACAAATGTTACATAAATTATTATCCTCGATTTTCCACTGATTTAGCAGTACTTTATTTGGTAATATGTTTTGAAAGAGTTTCCATCTATACATTTTATGACGGTTATCTTTCAGATTATAAAATATAAATTGAGTCAAATCATTAAAAAGTTGTGATCCTGCTATGTTCAGCACTCTCTTCCACTTTTCAATGGAGTGCGTTTTTATACACTTTTTTGCTATAAACGCATTGTACAAAAATGTATTATTAATAGTTTCTATCTGTTTATACTGTTTTCCATCATATGTTAGAAATCCTTTGCTACATTTTACTTGTGTGCATCTTGATTCATTTGTTTTTAATAAATCTAACCACGTTTTTGGTATTGCATTTTTTAAAGTGTTTATTTCACTTATCCAATTTCTAGTATCTTGTAATTTATTCAATATGTTTTGTTCGTCTATTTTCCCGTGTCTATTAATAATATCATCGATTGTTATTATGTTACTATCAGCCCAGTGTTTGTAAACAAGTGATTTTCCTTTGAATTTTATATTGCTGTTCCCCCAGATAACTTCCTTTCTAACATCATAAAATGTTTTACAATTTCGTTTCAATCCCCCTCCTAGCCGTATCCACGCCTCTAACATATCAATGTAAATGTTATATTTCTTACATCAGTTTTCTTTTTTATGTAGCATGAAAATTCATGTTCACTGATATCGAAAATTGCAATCATAATAAAGTTCATTTAGCAAGAAATATATAACGTAAAAATACATTTTTAATTTAGATTTTAATTGCAATAATTATTTTTGATCCACCATAACAATACAATGATGTTCATTTACAAGGAAATAAAATGCTATAAAACTTGAAGTGAAGATTATAACTGACCATGAACTTGACATCTCCCAGTGAGAGCCTGTCGGTGACCAGTCCACTGGCCTCCAGCTTCTCTACCACTTGGGCCAGCACCTTGGGCTGTGAAATTTAAAGGGATACATCCATAAAACGCCTTTTTTGACTTATTCCAGTTTGTAAGAATTACCTTATTTCAGCATTTTTTTCCCATCAAAATAACAGAAATAATGAAGATCTTAAGGGTAATTTAGAACAGACTATTAAAGGGTAAACAATGAAATTTTCAACAACAAAATCGTGAAAAAGATAGTTCCTGTTAATTTAGAGAACCTTGAGATGTTGCTCCACTGTTACTTAGGATAACGTACCTTTTTGCCTGACTCGGAAGTGAACGAGGGATGAGTCAACAAAATATCTATGTCACCACTGGAAGAAGCACCTGGACATAAAGGGAGATAATTTTTTACAATTTAAAAACTTATATATATAATATATAACATCAGACATGGTAATGAAGATTGTGTTATTCTCTTTTTGTTATCAAAAAAAAAAAAAATCAAATATTCCATTTATCAATTAAATATTTTATCGAGTTTTTAATCTAAATATATAGAGTTAAATGATATATTGTGATAGTAGCATACCTCGACGGAAACTGCCGCACACTTCACACATGTATTCACTGTCCAGTGTATTTATCTCCTTCACAGCAGCATCCTGCAGGTGAGAAATTACAATACACATTATCACCGCTAACGATCAACAACTAGTTCTAAGGTGTGTCAATAGCTTGTCTACAACGCAGTAGAATTGACATATAACCTACCATTATCAGTATCACTATATAACAATGCACTGATGAGAAAGTTATCTTAAACACTGACAATGATGAAATGTATTTATCACCATGGCGAGTACTCCCCAGTAGACACAGAGAAAAAAATGTTAAAATTCAGACAATATAACGGCATTAAATATCAAAAAGGGTCGAAATCCCAAATTAAAATGACGGTGCACAACTACATAAGACACTGCTCATTCATGTAAAGTTTCAATGAAATCCACCTGATCGTTAAAGAGGAGTTGCACGGACAAGTATTTCGCAAAAGGGGTATAACTCCATCAAAAAGGTCAAAATCCCAAATTAAAATGCCGGTGCACAACTACATAAGATACTGATCATTCATGCAGAGTTTCAATGAAATCCACCTGTTAATTAAAGAGGAGTTTTCCGGACAAGTTACTGCGGACGACAGACAGACAGACATCCAGACACCCTTGATTCCAGTATACCTCCCTAACTTCGTTGCGGGGATATAATTATTCACACCCTTAAGGTGAGATGAAGACACCCTACACCCCTCAGGGTTGAGATCCCTTTTCCTCACCCCCAATGGGGTGAAATATTAATCACAATGACCACAATTTAATGACATGCCATTTAATTTCACAATCAGATATCAAAGGCAACAGACCTAGAAACCAAAGTTAGTCTTAATACAAACTATTACAGTGACCTGTTTATTATACCTACCAAGTCATTCAGTGAAAAGGTCATCACAATGTTTTTATTTTATTTAAGGGTGAATTTGTACAGAGCGATTCAAAATTACAATCAAGTATTTTTATCAAAAGATTTTTAATCGATTAATATATCGGGTCCCTTTAAGTGAAACAGCAGAAGTCTGTGCTAGATGTGTAATGGGTCTCCCTCCACTATCTAACTAATTCTCTAAATATTATGTTCATCAGCTAACAACCTTTATCAATATCTAAATACATGTATCTGAGAATAAGAGAGTACTGTGAAATATAGAAATCATGTGACTTTCACAGAAACGCACGTCAAACCCATGCTTGAATATAATCATTAGTTCATACCACGGACTTATATAACAAGGACTCCGTGGTTGAGGTTCATACAAAGAAAAAATATTTTACCCTTAGTTGAATGACTTCATGTCTCGGAATTCTTTTTTCAAAGTCTTCATAATATCTGCAAAAAACGAAATCCTTCTAAACATATATGATTAAGATAGCATGTACCTATATTGAATGTGGTCTAAGTGAACGCTATTGCCAAATCCTGTTACTACCAGATCAGGAACAGCGGCTGTATTCGGCAGTTTCTAACTGCAGATGCATGCAAGATTTTGGTCCATTCACTTGATACCTCTCGGTTGGATTATGGTAAAGCCCTGCTCTGTGGTATATCTGACAAACTAACTAGTCGTCTGCAGAGGGTCCAGAACACTGCAGCAGGCTAGTTACTCGTACTCGAAAGAGAGAGCACATCACACCTGTGCTCTATTCGTTGCACTGGTTACCTGTACGATACAGGTCGCAGTACAAAATTCTGGTGTACACATACAAGGCACTGAATGGAACAGCTCCTCAGTACATACAGGAGCTTGTTACCCCGTATCAGCCGTCACGATCACTGCGGTCGGAGTCAGAATCTTTGTTGTGTATCCCAAATTCTTGTACTGTGACCTACGGAAACAGATGCTTTAGGAGGGTTTTAGCTACGTTGTAGAATAGCTTACCATCTGCAATTAGAAAGTCCAATACCCTGGCCAAGTTCAAGAGGGACATCAAAACTCACCTTTTCACGTCTGCATTTTAGAATCTTTGCAAAGACGTTATATAAATACCACCCTTTTATTTGTTCAATTAAGTGCACATTGCTTGCTTAAATGTATAAAAGTTATTGTAAGCCTTTGTTTTTTGTTTTCACAATTATAACCATTACTATTATCCATATGTTGTAAAGCGCTTTAGAGTAATTATACAAATTATATAGGGCGCTATATAAATGTTGTATATTATTATTATTGTTCTCAGTATACACAGGTATACAGTAGCTGACCACCAATTGTTCTTAGTGTACACAGGTATACAGTAGCTGACCACTAATTGTTTTCAGTGTACACAGGTATACAGTAGCTGACCACTAATTGTTCTCAGTGTACACAGGTATACAGTAGCTGACCACTTATTGTTCTCAGTATACACAGGTATACAGTAGCTGACCACTTATTGTTCTTAGTGTACAGAGGTATACAGTAGCTGACAACTAATTGTTCTCAGTGTACACAGGTATACAGTAGCTGACCACTAATCGTTCTCAGTATATACAGGTATACAGTAGCTGACGACTTATTGTTCTCAGTATACACAGGTATACAGTAGCCGACCACTAATTGTGATTGATTTAAGTACTGGAAACAAATTATCATAAGTAAAGTGTCTGTACAATATTGTTTTCTGTTGTTTATATATTGTGGGTGTGCCAATGCATCACTGCTCTAATCTGTTGTTTATATTGTGGGTGTGCCAACGCATCACTGCACTAATCTGTTGTTTATATATTGTGGGTGTGCCAATCAATGCATCACTGCACTAATCTGTTGTTCATATTGTGGGTGTGCCAACGCATTACTGCACTAATCTGTTGTTTATATTGTGGGTGTTCCAATGCATCACTGCACTAATCTGTTGTTTATATTGTGGGTGTGCCAATGCATCACTGCACTACTCTGTTGTTTATATTGTGGGTGTTCCAATGCATCACTGCACTAATCTGTTGTTTATAATGTGGGTGTGCCAACGCATCACTGCACTAATCTGTTGTTTATATTGTTGGTGTGCCAACGCATCACTGCACTAATCTGTTGTTTATATTGTTGGTGTGCCAACGCATCACTGCACTAATATGTTGTTTATATTGTGGGTGTTCCAACGCATCTCTGCACTAATCTGTTGTTTATATTGTGGGTGTGCCAACGCATCACTGCACTACTCTGTTGTTTATATTGTGGGTGTGCCAACGCATCACTGCACTAATCTGTTGTTTATAATGTGGGTGTGCCAACGCTTGACTGCACTAATCTGTTGTTTATATTGTGGGTGTGCCAACGCATCACTGCACTAATCTGTTGTTTATATTGTGGGTGTGCCAACGCATCACTGCACTAATCTGGTCAAATCTCGTCTCTCCCACAAGGTTGTACACACTGAGCCATCAATTTTGCTATGATATATCCCAGGGGTGCAGAGCCAAAGTGAGCGTAACCCCTGGCTATCGAGGATGAAGTGAGCGTAACCCCTGGATATTGAGGATGAAGTGAGCGTAACCCCTGGATATTGAGGATGAAGTGAGCGTAACCCCGGGATATCGAGGATGAAGTGAGCGTAACCCCTGGATATCGAGGATGAAGTGAGCGTAACCCTTGGATATCGAGGATGAAGTGAGCGTAACCCCTGGATATCGAGGATGAAGTGAGCGTAACCCCTGGATATCGAGGATGAAGTGAGCGTAACCCTTGGATATCGAGGATGAAGTGAGCGTAACCCTTGGATATCGAGGATGAAGTGAGCGTAACCCTTGGATATCGAGGATGAAGTGAGCGTAACCCTTGGATATCGAGGATGAAGTGAGCGTAACCCTTGGATATCGAGGATGAAGTGAGCGTAACCCTTGGATATCGAGGATGAAGTGAGCGTAACCCTTGGATATCGAGGATGAAGTGAGCGTAACCCTTGGATATCGAGGATGAAGTGAGCGTAACCCTTGGATATCGAGGATGAAGTGAGCGTAACCCTTGGATATCGAGGATGAAGTGAGCGTAACCCTTGGATATCGAGGATGAAGTGAGCGTAACCCTTGGATATCGAGGATGAAGTGAGCGTAACCCTTGGATATCGAGGATGAAGTGAGCGTAACCCTTGGATATCGAGGATGAAGTGAGCGTAACCCTTGGATATCGAGGATGAAGTGAGCGTAACCCTTGGATATCGAGGATGAAGTGAGCGTAACCCTTGGATATCGAGGATGAAGTGAGCGTAACCCTTGGATATCGAGGATGAAGTGAGCGTAACCCTTGGATATCGAGGATGAAGTGAGCGTAACCCTTGGATATCGAGGATGAAGTGAGCGTAACCCTTGGATATCGAGGATGAAGTGAGCGTAACCCTTGGATATCGAGGATGAAGTGAGCGTAACCCTTGGATATCGAGGATGAAGTGAGCGTAACCCTTGGATATCGAGGATGAAGTGAGCGTAACCCTTGGATATCGAGGATGAAGTGAGCGTAACCCTTGGATATCGAGGATGAAGTGAGCGTAACCCTTGGATATCGAGGATGAAGTGAGCGTAACCCTTGGATATCGAGGATGAAGTGAGCGTAACCCTTGGATATCGAGGATGAAGTGAGCGTAACCCTTGGATATCGAGGATGAAGTGAGCGTAACCCTTGGATATCGAGGATGAAGTGAGCGTAACCCTTGGATATCGAGGATGAAGTGAGCGTAACCCTTGGATATCGAGGATGAAGTGAGCGTAACCCTTGGATATCGAGGATGAAGTGAGCGTAACCCTTGGATATCGAGGATGAAGTGAGCGTAACCCTTGGATATCGAGGATGAAGTGAGCGTAACCCTTGGATATCGAGGATGAAGTGAGCGTAACCCTTGGATATCGAGGATGAAGTGAGCGTAACCCTTGGATATCGAGGATGAAGTGAGCGTAACCCTTGGATATCGAGGATGAAGTGAGCGTAACCCTTGGATATCGAGGATGAAGTGAGCGTAACCCTTGGATATCGAGGATGAAGTGAGCGTAACCCTTGGATATCGAGGATGAAGTGAGCGTAACCCTTGGATATCGAGGATGAAGTGAGCGTAACCCTTGGATATCGAGGATGAAGTGAGCGTAACCCTTGGATATCGAGGATGAAGTGAGCGTAACCCTTGGATATCGAGGATGAAGTGAGCGTAACCCTTGGATATCGAGGATGAAGTGAGCGTAACCCTTGGATATCGAGGATGAAGTGAGCGTAACCCTTGGATATCGAGGATGAAGTGAGCGTAACCCTTGGATATCGAGGATGAAGTGAGCGTAACCCTTGGATATCGAGGATGAAGTGAGCGTAACCCTTGGATATCGAGGATGAAGTGAGCGTAACCCTTGGATATCGAGGATGAAGTGAGCGTAACCCTTGGATATCGAGGATGAAGTGAGCGTAACCCTTGGATATCGAGGATGAAGTGAGCGTAACCCTTGGATATCGAGGATGAAGTGAGCGTAACCCTTGGATATCGAGGATGAAGTGAGCGTAACCCTTGGATATCGAGGATGAAGTGAGCGTAACCCTTGGATATCGAGGATGAAGTGAGCGTAACCCTTGGATATCGAGGATGAAGTGAGCGTAACCCTTGGATATCGAGGATGAAGTGAGCGTAACCCTTGGATATCGAGGATGAAGTGAGCGTAACCCTTGGATATCGAGGATGAAGTGAGCGTAACCCTTGGATATCGAGGATGAAGTGAGCGTAACCCTTGGATATCGAGGATGAAGTGAGCGTAACCCTTGGATATCGAGGATGAAGTGAGCGTAACCCTTGGATATCGAGGATGAAGTGAGCGTAACCCTTGGATATCGAGGATGAAGTGAGCGTAACCCTTGGATATCGAGGATGAAGTGAGCGTAACCCTTGGATATCGAGGATGAAGTGAGCGTAACCCCTGGATATCGAGGATGAAGTGAGCGTAACCCCTGGATATCGAGGATGGAGTGAGCGTAACCCCTGGATATCGAGGATTTGAAATTGAAACAAATTCTTTCAAAAGAAACTAATCTTCATCACATCAATGACATCTTAGTGCCACATTATATGTGTGGTTATTGGGAATAAACAAATTAATATTCATTTTATCAATTTCAGATTCTGAATAAATACAATGTTATGACAATGTCTTTGAATTCTTATTTTCATGCATGCTTACATTATACTAGACAAATAGTGGAAATCAGAATGTAACAAGTGTTGTACCAGGTGAAACACACCATACTAGAGTGACTTTAAATAAAACTTTCCAACACCTGGGGCCTAAGGAAGATGAGGATATTTTGACCATCTCCCATCGCCTGTGTGGTTAAGTACTGGTATACATTTTAAAAGGGTTTGCAAAGTATGTAACCAGTAGAAAGTTAATGTCCCCCAGTGCTGATTAACTTAGGAGAGGGTAACTCTGGATACACTCACTTGAGTCCAATCTGCTGGTGATGGTTGAGTTTATCAGTATGCTTCCTGAGATCTGAAATATAGTGTTTAACACTTAATGTTACTTTGGAATACAAATGTACTACACAATGTAATATTCCAAGTGGAATTATTGTACACAAAGAAAACTTGTTTTCTTTTTAAACAAAACAACAAACTGTCACGTGATCTACCTGTGGTATAAATATAGGATCTTACATCAGTTTCCATTTCATATGAGATTTATGAAACGAGTCTTAATAATTTTTCAATTTAGCAAGCCTCTGGGGAGCTTAAATGAAAAATTTGTGATGAGTTTCATAAATTTCATATGAAATGAAAATGAGTATAAGATCCTTTTTATCACATAATCAAGATTTGTGGCCTTATTTCGTGTAAAACGACAATTTTCATGCAACCTTGAAATGTAAAAAGCCGCCATTTTGACTCCAGTGCCTAAGTTTGTGATGTCATGTACTTGTCCTAGGCCTGAGGTCACAATTAAAACAACTGAAACTTACAACCAATCACAGGGCTGATAGGTCATATTACATGGGTTAATACGCCAAAAAATATCACGTTGGATAACAGAGTACATAATGTGATAAATCAACATTTAAGATAAAACCTGTATGTTTATTAACAAGAAAACATACAACATGTTCTCTCCTTGCATCAAATGGTAAGGATAAGCTGTATTGAAGGTAACCTTAAAGTGACTAATTTGGAAAGCATAAAATAACTCCCATCCCCCCATATTTTGGGGTTTTTTTAAAGTAAAAGGTATATCCCTTTCCATAAGAATTGACTTGAGTTGCAGGTTTGAACATCAAATTTGTAATACTTTTTTAGATGTTTACTCTGGAAACCAAATGGAACACATTGATCACAATTTCTTGATTTCAGAAAGTTAAACATCTTCAAAGATACCCTTTTAGAATGTTGAAAATTATAATGTGTCTATGATATGCTCAGGAAAACAAATAGATACTAAGATATGTACATAAGTTGTGCACTTGATCCATATCAACTCCAAATCAGAAAGGTGCATATACCAAACTGTACCCCACTGTAGTATGATTGACTCACCCCACTGTAGTATGATTGACTCACCCCACTGTAGTATGATTGACTCGAGTATGAAGTTTGACTGTAATGGCTCTTGAGATATACTCCAGAAACACAAGTATACACCTAAGTATACTAATCACATTATTTTGTACTTTGTACATATGTACTAGGTATCTTATATTTTGGCCTTTTCCATGACAACTAGAAATAGGTTGAAATCAAAGAAACTTAAAAGGCAACCCTGTACAGTGACTGACTCATTTCGTAATGTTTTTTTTAAGAAGGCTCTGGAAATACACATACATATGTATGTCCAAAAATCAAAATAACAAATCCTACCTTCCACAGACATAATGCCCTCCTGTACAAGTTTCTGGGCTGCAGCAGGCCTGCAGAGATAAATGTATTAGATATGTAATTATTAACAATGTGGCAGCCTAGGTAACTTACTACCATTACAATATTTGACATAGTATGGGCACCTGCTTTAATAAGGTGCCTTATGGATTTCAATAAAATACCAGAATTCAGGATTTGATAATTTCCGGAAGTTGTTCAGTTTTTTTTGAGAATCAGATAACTTCAGCCTTTAATTGGCACTAGTCACTAGTGAATTTAACGAAAACAACACTCCTAAGGGACAATGCCAGTGTTGTCAAAGTGTGATCCTTTAGTGAAGTACCAAAATAAAAAGATTCTGAATTCATTCTCATTTCTACAGATGTTTACATGGAACTCACTGAAGTTTGTACCTGGTAACAGGAAGACAATAGAAATTCCCTGTTTGATCTACGAATAATATTTCAATATATATATAACTTTTCTGGAAAACATGTATTTAAATGAATTTTATTCCAAGAAATGCTTCAGCATGAAGATATACAGAATTGAAGTACAGCACAAGTAAAATTACAGCAAGAAGTGACATTTGAATTGACCAGAAAATAACGTTATTACATTATAATAGGACATAATAAATGATGTTAGTGTCGTTACCCTATACCAGTCACTTTAGTCAAGGCGTTAATGGCCACACTGGTGTCATCGGCTCGTATCTGAAAAATAGAACAGTAATCGTTTCTGGAGCAAAGCATTTTAGAAGTACAAATAAACAGTTATAGCTACACATTTCCACATAACCAGAAGATATTGTGTTCTTGGCTATCAATGCAATTTGATCAGTGTCATTTTGAAGCACTTCCTCACACTCGAATAATGTTAGACAACCGTTAGAAGCAAACATTTTAGTGACGTTATATATAGTTAAGCTGTTCCAGGGATCTTGTTTGCACTGACGATACAGACACTTAAATATTGAAAATATAAGTGAATACCTATATATATTTAGATGAATAATAAAAATGAAATATAAATATAAAGATTGAACAACATTTTTCAAAGTTCATGCCATATGAACACAAATCGGTTACACTCATACAATAATGGGTCTAACATTACCTGTTGTTCATGTTAATGTTCCCCTGTTCAATCTCTGTGACTGTAACAAAACTTGATATTCTGCCTGATGTTTCAGGTGAAGCAGGAATTTACACTTTATATCGATGTAACACCCCTCGTTGATTGACCATATCAGTTACGTTAAAGTATTACAATGTTCTCTTTTTTCCCATTAAACAAATTTCTTTACACATGTACATTGGTATTTCAACAAGTTTATAATCAGAACTCTGATGTGCAGATATCAATCAGTTTATCTAAATTACCTTTTCTAGCTTTACTAGTTTTCCTGTCTTGACAAATTCATCAATTTTTTTTCCGATTTTATCTCCAATTCCATCCTAGGGGAAAAAAATTGAATTAAAACCAATACATAAATATTAAGGCCTTTAATAATGATAATAATTTGAGGTTCTTATATACCGCTTTATCACAACCTAGTTCGTAGGTCGTCACAAAGCGGTTTAGAATCCTGTTACTACTGTTTATATTTCCAATTCACTTCAACAAGACACCTCCTATCCAGGTGTGTAAATTGATTTTCAAATGAATTATTCCAAGATAACTGTTGATAATCTTGTAACACAAGATTTCAACTTCAAATAAAACAGAAAAATAAGTAATGATGCGTATTAGGGTGATTGGTGTGATACTTACAAGCTTTTTGGCCTCATTCCCTGTGGTGATTCGTGTCGGATGTTTGGCCAGAACTCCTGCTGCTTTTCTATAGACATTGTATTTGTGCATTGCACGATTCACATTTTTTTCATAGTTGGCCAACTCTGTTAATTAGAATGGAAAATGGAGCATAATGTAATTATTTATAATGTGCCTTCAAGTATCTACATATAATGTATCGCCATCTCATAAGTATTTATCTACATATAATGCATCACCATCTCATAAGTATTTATCTATATATAATGTATCATCAGCTCATAAGTATTTATCTACATATAATGCATCACCATCTCATAATAATACTTATAATGCATCACAATCTCATAAGTATTTATCTACATATAATGTATCACCATCTCATACAAGTATTTTGTGTGGTGTGGTTCCAGTTTCATTACATAGTGTTATATAGGTTATCTAAAACTAACTTCCAATTGATATATGGATGCATGATTAAAAGAACTTTATCACAGTAAACTAAAACCCCAATTGCCCATTAACTGTATACGTGCATGTAGAAAGTATGTTTCCCGGGACAGCACTGCATTAATTCAGGACATGGATCACATTAGAGCGCAAGTTTAGTTCAATATGGCACGATGGTACTATTTGATTTGATACAAGACTATTTCAGTTCAATACAGTCCTTTAGGAGTACAGTGTATAAATACACTGCAATAATGAGTTTTAATAGCTACACGTACAGCAACTAAATCATGTTTGTTCAAAAAGTAGACATCATTTTTTTAAATGTTATTTACCAGTAAAGTGCTCCAATCTTTTGCTGTGTTAGAAAGAAATGATTTCCCTAGACTATAAACTCCTAATATCATCTAGGTATCAGTTTTGGAGTGATATGTGTTTCAGATCTAGAGTGCCTTTTCATCAAGCTGGTTGAATTGGTGTTTTACATCCTATTAACAGCTAATCAGCTATAGAAGGTCATATAAGGATGCACCAGGGTTTTGTGGTGGAGGAAAATGGGGAATCTGAGGAAAACCAGTGACCTGTGGCCAGTACCTGGCGACTGCCCTATGTAGAACCGGGGACCTAGTGGTGGGGTCTAGGGTTGTAGACTATCAGATGTCTTTAACCACTTGGCCACCATGGCTTATCAAGCTGTATCTCATGACAGCTGACTATGTGAACTGCATGACCTTGCATGAAGTTATTTATAGACATGTGTATGTGATCTGTACAGTAGTCTGACAAAAGAAGTCGGCTAAAATTTGCCCAGGAAAAATATTAATTTATAAATGTGTCTTTGTCCTCTTCTTTTTAATTGACATAAGTTGTAAAACTTGAGCAAATGAAGAAATGGTATCAAATCACTATATTGAAATTTTGAGGACTTATTTATTTCTATAAATATTTCATGTGAAATTAAACGATTTAAAAAACATGCATAAATAAGCAGTTTTAGTAAAGACACTTTTTATCTTTCTTAATATGAACCCATAACAAAAACCAGCTATAGATTTCAGTCCTGACCCAGTATATTTTGTCATCCGTCAATGCAAACACACAAGAATATTGTAGGCAAATGAAGCCTAACTTCTTTTCCTATTATTTTCCCTGCCAAAGCACAGTTTTGGAGCAGGTTGTGGGTTTAGAAAAGAATATACCTGCTGTTACCCACAACATGTTTTGGAAGACGTAGCAAATATAATGTGGGAACTCGAGCTCCCTCCAAAATTGGGGACACAAAACTGACCAAAGTAAAAGTTTGCTGCACCCATTACAACATTTGGGATCTTTATATCATTCCTCCTTTTCTAGCTAGGTATTTTTTTTACCTACACTATCACAAGTGTTATCCACTAGCTACTGCTAGTACCAAGAAAAATATTTACCAACTCAGCAGATCTATCCAACGAGAAACTTATAGTGGTTGTGGGAGAAAGAGTGGTTCCCCAACGAGAGATGGTTGGTTACATTATGATGTTTATCATATTCAAAATAGTTAATTTTATTCGACAAACTGGGAGTGAGAAAACCTATAGTGTTTGTAGGAGATTAAAGCGACGCTTATGTACTCACTGTTTTGAGCACTTTAATAGACCAACATTTTAACTTTGTAATTTGTTGTAGATTGGCTACTAAAACATCTACATAAATGATATTTTTCTCAGTCGCAACATGTTCTTAATGTACAATAATTATAGAATAATATGTCCAATTGACAGATTGATATTGTGGTGTTTAGAGATTGTTTTGTGTGTGTGTCAGGTCCAGTACACTGCCGATTGAGCTATATAGCTATAAAGACCTATATAGCTATATTCACCTATAAATTATAGCTGTATTGAGCTATATTTTCTCAGATTTAAATTTTCATTAAATTAAAGCAAAGTCGCATAAAATAATAAGATTTATGGTAATGTTGACTACAAAAAGCATACATGTTTATTTTCATTTTGACTACAAAAAGCATACATGTTTATTTTCATTTATGTTAAATTTCGCCTGTCTTTTGTTATGAACCTAATGATAAAATCTTCTTTTAAAAGCGACTTTGTTTCGTTTTCCTTAAAAAAGAAAATCACATAAAAATAGCTCAAAGGACCTATTTCAGATAGGTCAATAGAGCTAGTATAGGTCTTTACAGCTATACAGCTCAATCGGCAGAGTCACTCTGAGAGTGTCAAGTGTGTGTTTACCCATTAAAAAGTCGCAGAATTCCGAATTGACATTATCAGATGTGGGAGCTTTCCTCTTGCTCATTGTGACAACTAGATATACCGTCTGATGGCCTCGACTTAGTGAAAACAAATATACACAAAGCGTCGAACTTCAGGACAATGTGCAGACGCCAGCAGTTGTGTTTACAGATGGTCCGGTTTAAAACGAACTACTTCCGGTTCATTTATAACTAAAAAAGAAAACGGATCCCGGATTTCATTTATAACTAAAAATGAAAACGGATCCCGGATTTTAATAACATAAATTGTAATAGGACCTACACTTGATTTACCAGGAACACTCGTAAACATTGTCCTTAACTGGAAAATATATCAACTTCTAGAAAATCTTTTAAATTCTGTATATATATGAACATTATATGTAAACAAGATAGAAAAGGTTTTCAACCAGAAAATGATAACTGTAAATGAGCTAACAAAGATATATTGCTCGCCATTTCTAATTGAAACCATATGGACCTGATAATTTGTTACATATAATCATTGGGGGTAGCATTTTTTTATCGAATGTTGATCTAAACCCTAAAACGAGTAAAATTACTCTGAACACCTTAGTTTAGGTTTAAATAAAGCTGTTACAATTTTCAGGTCCCTGTGATTGCAGCCATAGCCTGTTCGATATTTTCTTTATAGGATGTCTTCTTGTGTTTAATCATATGAAAACGTTTCAATAACAATATCTACAGTATACCGATATTTGTACTACTTTAAAGTTAGACAGGTACAGGACACGATAGAGCTAGGACATGATAGAAGTTAACAAACTATCGTCCGGGAAATATGACTATGAAGTATCCGACATATTTTAGTATCAAGGAATGATCATCTACACGTGGGCACAACTTTAATATTAACAAATTGCATCCAAGGTTGAAAGTTAGAAACTGTTGATATATGGATCAATCCGTTAATGTTGTGAATTCAAGCACAGTTAAACAAATTGTATATAAATTAGATGAACACTGGCAAAACCCAAACTTCCATATAAGTTAATTACAAACCTCAACATAAAGTATTTACTGGTCTCACTACAACGTCATCACAAACCTCCTTATATAAGGTACTTACAAACCTCTACATACAGTAATTACTAGTCTCACTACAACGTCATCACAAACTTCCATATAAGTTAATTAAAAACCTTTACATAAAGTAATTATTAGTCTCACTACAACGTCATCACAAACTTCCATATAAGATAATTACATACCTCTACATAAAGTAATTACGAGTCTTACTACAACGTCATAACAAACTTCCATATAAGATAATTATAAACCTCTACATCAAGTAATTACTAGTCTCACTACAAACGTCATCACAAACTTCCATATAAGATAATTATAAACCTCTACATCAAGTAATTACTAGTCTCACTACAAACGTCATCACAAACTTCCATATAAGTTAATTATAAACCTCTACATAAAGTAATTACTAGTCTCACTACAAACGTCATCACAAACTTCCATATAAGGTAATTACATACCTCGATATAAAAATTTGCAAAAAAAACAAAATCTAGTTTTGCCTTCTCATTCTTCTTGAGCAAGAAGAATAAGAAGAACATACCATCCATCAAAACCTAAATACGCGAAAAAATAGTAAACAGACGGCATACTCTTAGTTCCTTGATGGATCATCAACAGCTGCCTTTCACGAGAATGGTGGGACTTTTTGATATATTTCACTAGTGCTTATGGCATGAGCACGGATTTAGATAGAATCTAATTCCCTGGCATGAGTGATTAAATGAATGACATACAGCTCCCAATTAAAAATATGCTAGGACGTCAGTGACGTCACTATTGACAACGCCCTTTATTTGATATTTTCACAATAAACCCTGTTCTCTGATTGGTCGGTTTAGTATTAAAGTAATGATATTTATTATGTTATAATGTGCCACTGCAGATAAAAAACAACTTCACCTTCATCGTAAAAACGATATTTTATCACGGACTAAATTCCATTATTTTACTGGTAAAAATGTTGGATTAGATTTTATTATAAATCTAAATATACTAGACTAGTTGAAATAAACACAGGGAATTAATTACAAAGAAACCAAAGAAAAAATAACTCAGCAATTAAATTGTGAAGTATATTTAAAAAGAAAAGACGCTGAAAGATACTTTGAACAAGAGGCCCAATGGGCCTGCATCGCTCACCTGGTATAAATCTCACACTTGTAACCTTAAAAGTGATCTAAAATTAAGCTACAGGAAAAATATCAGTATTTATGACTAAAATTCATTCAAAAGATCCTGTTAATTTCTTTTAAAACATTCCACCCCTGTGATTGAAAGTCGAACAAAGTCATTATGTTGAACAAATTTTATAGCCTTTCATCTCAGGATGCAACTTGCAAAGTATCAACATCCTGGGACCCATGGTTATTCAGAAGAGGTCGTTTAAAGATTTTAAACAAATTTGACCCCTGTGACCTTGAATATAAGTCAAAGTCATTCACTTTAACAAACATAGTAGTCCTTGATCCAAACATGCTACTGACTAAATATCAACATCCTGAGCCTTTTGGTTATTCATCAGAAGTTGTTTAAAGGTTATTTAAGACAATTGACCCCTGTGACCTTGAATATGGGTGAAGGTCTTTCATTTGAACAACTTTGTAGCCCTTCATATCAGCATGCTACTGGCCAAATATCATCACCCTAGGCCTCTCGGTTATTCAGAAGAAGTTGTTTAAATGTTTTTAACATATTTGACCTTAGTGACCTTGAATATGATTTAAAATCATTTATTTGAACAAACTTTGTAGCCCTTCATCCCAGCATGTTACTGGCCAAAATATCATCACCTTAGGCCTCTCAGTTATTCAGAAGAAGTTGTTTAAAGGTTTTAAACATATTTGACCCCTGTGACCTTGAATATAAATCAAGGTCATTTATTTGAACAAACTTGGTAGCCCTTTATTTCAGCATGCTACTGGCCAAATATCATTACCCTGGGCATTTTGGTTATTAAGACGAAGTTGTTTAAAGTTTTATACATATTTGACCCCTGTGACCTTGAATATGATTGAAGGTCATTCATTTGAACCAACTTTGTAGCCCTTCATATCAGTATGCTACTGGCCAAATATCATCACCCTGGGCATTTTGGTTATTGAGAAGAAGTTGTTTAAATGTTTTTAACATATTTGACCTTAGTGACCTTGAATATGATTTAAAATCATTTATTTGAACAAACTTAGTAGCCCTTCATCCAAGCATGTTACTGGCCAAATATCATCACCTTAGGCCTCTCAGTTATTCAGAAGAAGTTGTTTAAATGTTTTAAACATATTTGACCCTTGTGACCTTGAATATGATTCAAGGTCATTCGTTTGAACAAACTTGGTAGCCCTTCATCCCAGTATGTTACTGGCCAAATATCATCACCCTAGGCCTTTCGGTTATTTAGAAGAAGTCGTTTAAAGGTTTTAAACATGTTTGACCCCAGTGACCTTGAATATAAATCAAGGTCATTCATTTGAACAAACTTGGCAGCCCTTCATCCCAGCATCTTACTGGCCAAATATCAACACCCTAGGCCTCTTGGTTATTCAGAAGAAGTTGCTTAAAGATTTTAATGTATTTGACCCCTGTGACCTTGAAAATAGATGAAGGTCATTTATTTGAACAAACTTGGAAGCCCTTCATCCCAGCATGCTTCTGGCAAAATATCATCACCCCAGGCCTTTTGGTTAATGAGAAGAAGTTGTTTAAAGTAAAAAGTTGACGCCGGACGGAGCCATAAGCTCACTTGGCCCTTCGGGCCAGGTGAGCTAATAACCAGTTCCGGGAGGTTTTGTATGTTCTTGTTTATATTCGAGTTGTCTTTCTTAGAACACTGAATCATAGTGCCCGCTCCGAAACCGGTAACGGCTACACGTGGCGATTCATTTGTTGACACACTAAGTTAGGCCTATTTGTTTGTAAATGAAATTTGAGGATTGTACATATTTATTACAATCCTCATTAATTTCAACCAATTCAATCGGTATCACGAGAGTGAAATCGCGGTTGTTACTTAGGGCTCCTTGTATCCAGGTAACCCTTTCACGTAGTTTTCGATATCAAAAGCAACTCTTTTGTATTTGAAACTCTATATTGATGACAATCTCTTTAAGTAGATATAGTTGCATACAGATGTGTGTTTTTTCATTCTCAATTTCTCTTTTGATATTTTGTTCCCTTAGCTTAGCCAGACATGCTTGGCCGCCTCTTGTCACTTGTGTCTTACAACGCGGATCCGATAGCTGTTTGTAAATCCGTTTTTTTAATACTTGCTGTTCATCTATTTGTGAAACTTGGCACTCCTAATGTATTTACGACGTATATTATATGAATTCCTCAAAACTCTAAATAAAACTTCACTTATAAACACGCCAAGGTTACAAACACACACAACCTGCTTTGTCTCGACCCGGAAGTGTATTCGATCTTACGAAATTTTCAAGTATATAAGCGACTGACATGCCGTAACGTGGCATTGCTTGACAGTTAGTAGACGAACACACTTGCATCAACCGCTCCCTGTTGTTTTCGTACAGATCAAGAATGTGTGGTGAGTTTCAACAAGTTCTATACGTTTGTTACTATATTCTTGTTTTATCTGAAGGGATAGATATATTTAAAACGGTTTGTGGGTGATGCATCTTGTGAGAATCTATTTCAACTGATGCTACTGGGTCATGTCTACTTTCTGTTTGTCTGATTGCAATTACTACTAGATACACACACTGTAAATATAAAAGTTTTTTTCATGCAATGTATCACAACAGTTTTTATAAGATAGTAATTTTTCGTAGTATGTTTCCTTTGTCTTTGTTCTGTGGTTTAGATCCATAGTGCCTTACATGTGCATTTGTATTACTTTACTCTGTGATTGTAACTTAAGTTAGACGGTAATCTATATTGATCAAAGATGATCAAAAGGACTGAATTGATCTCTTGTCATACAGCTAAATATTTAGCCTGGAAATAAACATGTAAATGGAATCTAGTAAAAATAACTCACTGGAGTAAAAAAATCCTGAAACTATATGTTTATCCAATACAATTTGTATTGATTTCCGAATTGACCTCTTAACATCAGATACAACCTGTATCTTAAACAGACCTATAACACACAGGTTACTTATTTTC